GGAGTTAGTACGGGTAGGTATGCCGTAGGTTACTCTGCACCACTCAAGACTCGTAGTTTATCTCATTGTTATCATCATGATTTTCCAGCTAACACAAGATGACTTTTATCTAATCCCCAATTTTCTCTTATCTAATGACTGGCGATTGATGACCTTAGTCTCCCAGATGGTTTACCTACCGGATACGGGCAGCCGGGCAGGTACATCGTAGGCTTCTCTACACCACTACTACCCCACAATTAATCTCTTTGAAGCTCAAATCAAGCAAAGAAGTGCATACTGAAGAGGAGAATAAGATTCAAACAACTATGTTCATCTTTACCTCTTCGTTTAAGTTCTATTTCCTTATGTGTTAAGTTTATCTCATCACCTAAGTTTGAGGAACCCTAACTTGATGTAGTTAAATGATTGACTGATTGTGAACCTGGACTTGACATACGTCTATTTCTATATCCAAATATACATTCTATAGAGTAATTCCTGATCTTTGACTAAGTTTGGGTGAATTGTGTTTTGAACTAGGAGAGAGAAATCATTGGGTTGATTGAACACACGTAATTTGGAAGGTGTTGATTACTTGCATGAAAATGTGTAATTTGATTCCTATGAATTGGATGGAAGCTCTCTTGTGGGAATCTAGGTCTTAACATCTTGTTTGGTTAGATGAGTTGAAGAGAAGTCTCTCTTGACTAACTATTTCATGAGGGTCTTGTATGTATTAATGATGATTCAAGATCAGTGAAGGATTCCTCGTATTATAGGAGTGAAGTTGAAAAATCTAGGATCACATCAATTGCCATTTGATTCAAAGCTAGGGAGAAAAAATACCCAAGTGAACCTTCTCACCTTTGGGTCCAACCTATTGCATTAATTTACTTTAGTTAATCATTCATTGCTAGTTTAAGTAGAAGTAGTAGTTTGCAGAAGTAATTAACCAGTAACTAGAACTTGCTAGATAATATCTGATATTGAGTACTTATAAAACTAGGGACCCGAGGAACACGATAACTATATAATTTGAAGTCATTATACTACAATCTATCATTGGTTAACTTGCCTTTGTTAGCCGTGTTAGTTTGTAGCAAATCAAGTTTTTGACGCCGTTGTCGAGGAGTTTTTAGGTTATTAGGAAAGGAAAAGGTTTATTACTTCAACTTTTCTTTCTTTTGTTATATTCAGGGGTGGACCTAAGGCAAGGGGGAGGGGTGTCGTCCGACACCCCTCTGCCCGAAAATTTTGTGAAGGACCTCCATTTTTTCGGTACAATTTTTTTTTAATTTGGGACTTCCGACACCGCTCTAATAATTATAAGCGACACACCTTCATTATACGACCATAGTTTTAATGTTATAAATTTATTCACCATAATTAGTAATTAACAATAATAAGTAAAATCAAATAAGCATGCTTGTTTTAAGTAATCCACAACCCAATTTAAATTGTCGATTTGTAGTTAATAGGTGAATTGCGTATATTTATGAGATATTGTAGTTTGATTTTGGTTAATTTGGTAGAACTAGAGAAAAAATGTTAATGAAATTACTTTAGCCATACTTTATTTTTTCTAAAATTGCCGATTGGTATATTGTAGTTTACTATATTTCATTGTATACTAATTTATTTTAACTTAATTTGATTTTAGACGAGTGTTGATTCTCTTTGGTTGAGTGACTAATTTATGAATGATTATGTAGTTATATATATCGAAAAAGGTTTGATTTGCAACATAAACGATGAATGTATTTTAAAAAAATCTCGGGATATGAAAAATCATCATAATTCGTAATAAACATGACGTTGTGAACTTATAAATGAATTTCCAGTAATTTCTATTAAATTTCTATTTAATTATTTTTTTATTATATTTTTTTATCGGCGACACCCCTCTTCAATAATCCTGGGTCCGTCACTGGTTATATTTTCCCATCTTTGCTTTTCACGGTTGTTGTTTGTCCGTGTGTGGTTGGTGCTTTTGCATGACCCAAAGCCAATAAGGAGAACTTGTAGCTTTTGATGATAATATCAACCAGATCTTACGGAATATGAGGGGAGAAAGTGTCTTGCACAAACTTTTGAGCAACTAGAAGGCAAACACTCTTCTCATGTTGAGGTTGAAATAGAGGACAACATCATGGCTGACCAACCTCAACTTCCAACTCAGTTGAACGGACTATGGGGTATTATCTCAACGCCAATGTCGATGAGATGCAATCCAGCATCTTGCATCCCCCATCGACAATACCAACTTCGAGATCAAAATGAGTGTAAGAACCAAGATCAGGTGTCAAAGTCTTCGACTGAGGCAGAGTATCAATCAATCACTGAAGTAATTTGCGAATTTTTTGGCTTCAGTGTTATTTGAGGATATTGGTCTTACTATTACACTCCCTATGCACCTCAATGGTGACAATACTAGTTCCATCAAGACTGCAAATAATTATGTTTTGCTAATTTTGGAGAAAATAAGTGAAACTAATCCAAAGATTTGATCTTATTTTGTTAATTTGATTCAATTTGGTCTAAATTCAATTGATTCTACATGGACATTAAAATCGTTAAAATCCTATGAGAATTCCAAAATTTTATGGATTTAGTGAAATCGTGATCGAAACATGTAAGTAATATCTTAAAATTTTAGAATTCAAATCAGAATTTTAACTACCTTCCTTATCTGGCAAATTAATGGTTCGAATTGCCAATCAATTTGGAGAGGTTGTTAATGTAGATATGTACTACTCTGTGTATAATATGTAATACGAACCTTGTGTGTGAGTATAAGTACAAACATGACGAGCAAAATATGTTATGAAAATATACTCAACTTGACGAGCAAGAGCTTGGTCTAGTGGTAATACCACTGGCCTAAAACCTGAAGATCACAGGGTCGAATCCCTTAAATAGTACCTTAATCACACACAAAAAAAATGAAACCTATATAATCCTTATATACAAAAAATCTATTCGGTAACAGTTGTGAAAATTTGTATATTTATGTAGTAATAAGTTCAGGTATGATGACCGACAAAGACGAAGAAAGCATTGGTCATAGTGGGAAACCCCTCGAGCAAGAATAGCGTTCCCCTGTTTCTGCCCTCTGTTTCCAAGTCCACTCCTAAGTTCTAACTTCTAACAGTATATTTCCTTACTCTTCATTTTCCCGCCAAAAAGATTGTCCTCTCGTTTGTCAGTGAAACCCTTCCCAGTAACAATGGCTTCTAGACCAAATTTGGTCGGGCAGTTTCTCCTCTCACTTCTTGCTGATTCCGCAGTCCTCTGTTTCGCTCATTCAGTTAGGACGACGACATTCCCTTCCATTTGTGGACGAAGCTTAGCTCCAAAGTCTTCAAAGAGTGAAGCCTTGAACTCAACATAGCACCCAAACTATGATACCATTGATGTGATCATGTATCTTATTCATTACAAAGAGCGGCTATTTTACTGTTATCAAAATTAATTCTACAGAACAAAAATGAACCTTTATACTTTCCTATTAAACAACATATTAAACCAAAGTTACATTACATTCAAAAATAAAACACCAGAAGGAGGAGGCCAACGATGATATTATATTTCTGTTTTTGATAGCTTGGTACCAAAGTATAGTTCCCTGTCATGATATTCCAACTATATTGAATAATATTAATAATAGTAATAGTAATAAGAATAAAACTAATTATGGCAATGAACTTTAATACTGACCATATGGCAGACAAAAACGGTGATACTGAACGTGGTGGCGGCTGCACCGCAACAATTATCTTTACATTCGGCTCTAGTTTCATTAGAGCATAAATAACATTGAAGCTTATCGGCGAGAGACCTTTGATCTCTACCCTTTCCAATTGCTTCAAACCGGCTAGCTCATCGCAGCAAGTCTTTTCAAAGATGAGCAATCATACAGATTTAACTGTTCCAAGGATTCAAACCAGCAAGGCCCTCAATCTCCTGCAAATTTGGTGCATACGTGGAAGATAACGTTTTCAATTGCTTCAAATAGGGGTGACCATTCGGTCGGTTCGGTTTTGATCGAACCAAAATTATGAATACCGGGTCCCCAAATCCTCACAAACCTCAAACCGAATTCGAACCGAATTATAATTTGGTTCGATCTATTTAAACCGAATCATAATTCGATTTGGTTCGGTTTTTCACACAAAACCAAATTTGTGAGGCTACTTGTATCTTCTCACTTTTGAATTATTTTTCACCCCTAATTTAACCAATAAATATGCAATTATATGCATCATCAATGATAAAATCAAACTTTTCAACACATAAGTCATAAAATATTTCAAATATTTAAGTCTAAAAACAACTACAAACATAAAAACCACCATTTGGAGGTTGCAATTATAGTATTTCTGTTTTTCAGTCGGAAATTCTGTTCGGTTGAAAGTACCCTGATTTCCGAAATATCCATATTTTCATTATGAATTCCAAACCGAATAGCATTATTTCGGTTTCAGCTCGGTTTAATTTGGTTTTGGTTCGTTTCAGGTTTACCGAATTGTTTGCCCACCCCTAGCTTCAAAGACGCCATGTTGGGCAGTCTTCGCAATGCATCACAGTCTTTCAGCGTTAAGGATGTCAAAGTATAGAGATTACCAAGACCATCCAGGTTGCATACAACTTTCAGATCACTTATACCCAGAGTTTCCAAAGATTTCAAGCCTCCAAGACCAAGGATCTCTTTAAGCAAGGGACAGCCTGAGATGTACAAGTGAGCCAAGTGTTCCAGATTCCCAAGATTTGGAAGCCACTGAAATTCTGGACAAAGCTTAATGTGGAGGGTGGTCAGTAACGATGGAAGCAACAGTCAGCAAGGAACAACGACAAGAAGTATTAGTTGGGGTAGTCAACTTTGTTTCTTCCAGTGTCAGAGACTTCAATTTAGATAACCTCCACCGCATATCACTATTGTTTGCTAGAGGGATCTCAAACCCATACTCGAAATATCGAACCATTAGTTTCTCCAACTCTACCAGTTCTACAAGGTTAACAAAAATAGGGGAAAACAAGAGCATGTACGATAGTCAGTCGGTAACTATTAATCAAGAAACTCAACAAGTACCATTTATGATTTGTTATTAAACGGTAGCCCATACCTTCACGAGATGTCTCAAACCTCCCCAATCATCCTTTACAGGAGTTAAGAGTTCGAGAATCACCATATTTTCCACACGAAACTTAGGCAAGCACTCAGAATTTCCAGACTTCCATTGAAGCCATCTCAAGTTTGGAAGATAATCGGTGAAGTCACTAGGGAGCATCTTAGCTTGTACGTCAAGGTATCTCAGCTCTGATAAATTCATAAAGCATTCGCTCTCAAGGTTTGCCACAATCTCAAGCTCGTCCACAACACCATCATCGGATGATGGGTTCATTCTGATGCCTTCGATTGTGTTTGTTCGCTAAAAAAAATGAAATCAACAATCCAATAATGAAAAGTAAAGAAAGCAAAAGTAGTTGCCACCAAGATTGACCATGATTGTATTAGTTGTTCTCGCCTATACCTAAAACATGTTGTCCTATCATCTATTCAGCCAAGAGTTCATTTTATGATTATTAAATATTAAAGTTATGGGTTATATTTGTTTCCTTTTGTTTTAATTCCTAAATTTTTAGACTAATGATTCAAGTTGGAACCCACCAGATTTTACAAGCTAAAATGATCATCAGTACAAGATATTTAGTTTGCAACTATAATCCTAGAAGTACTATATATACACAGATAAACTAGGTCTGGGTGTTTACCCATGGACTTTTGAACACTTGTGGCTGTGAGATACATATATTACAAAAAAAATAAAAGGACTACAAGCGAGATTAGGGAATTTACCTTTTTGTTATATAACATTTCAACATCATTCTCCTCTAACCATATCCTACTTCTGTTCCATGGATGTCTTTTGTTTTCTTGACGTACAATTTCCCTACCCATATCTCTGAGTTGATCATGCATTCGGAACACTTTTTGCTTTTCGGTATCAAACACAATCTCAATCATAGACCTCTGCTTAAGAATATTTATATTAGTCGTCGGGAAAAAAACCACAGTCACTCCACATATAAGAAGGCGGCTCTTTTTCCTCTCTAATGAAGAAACAAGCGATATCCAAGAAAATCTGCTTCGCACCGTAGCTTATCTTCAACCTTTCCACAACCTTCTCCTCTGAAATCTCTTTTAACTGCTTCAGTTTTTCTATCCAAATCGCTTCGTCCTCTTGAAATAAAAGTGATCCTACGACTTTAAGTGTCGATGGAAGTCCTGCTGCAACATCAACAATATCCTTCGACAAAGTCTCATAACTTGATGTGGGAGAATCCATTTTGAAAGCATGCTTGCAGAAGAGTTGGATTGAGTGTCCATGACTCATTTTAGTACTCTATACAACTTGCATTCTTCAGCCGAAATACTCAAGACTTTTACGTTTCTGGAAGTCATGACAAATCTACTTCCCATAACAAAATTTCTGATATTTCCCAACATCTCTTCAAATTCAAACATCTCATCCACATCATCCAGAACAACAAGACATTTGAAACGCGAAATCCTAAATCTTATAATCTATATGCCTTCACTAGAACTGGCAATGGATTCAACAGAATTTTGCCTCCTCAAAATGTCCGAGATTAACTTCTTTTGCAAACTAATAACACCATCCCTTTGAAGTAGCATTTCTCGTACGTTTTCACAAAGCAACAACGATCAAATTGAGCAGATAATTTGTTATAAACAGCCTTGGCAATAGTGGTCATACCTATACTAATACCGCCAATACCATGAATACCAACAGTTGACACACCTCTAGAGACTCCAGGGTCATCCTTTCTTCTACTGCTTCAATGTGACCATCAATTCTGATAAGCTTATCAGTCTCTAACGCATTACTGATCTTACTTAGATGTGACCACACATCGCCAGTAACAAGATTTGCTATCTCACCTTGCCTGGAAAATAGGATGTTCAATTATATCAACCCGGAGAGAAGACGTGAATTTCATTACAAATCCGATAATGAGTAATTTGATAAACGATGAAATAAAGGGCAAGGGTGAGGTTACTTACTCGTCATTGCTTGTAACATGCCATCCCTTCATAGCTCCAACCTTTTTCAAAGCATCTCTCCAAACTTGTACGGTCTTTTCGTCAAAAATCATCATGTGATCTTCAAATGCATTCCAATAAGGCCCACTTTAAAGCACGATTTTGACTACATTGGCCGCAGCGCCAGCTCCACCTCCGCTCTAGCAAACGGACGCAACAACATCTGGTTATCAACTTCCGTAACTGAGCATGATATAGAGTCTAGCACCGGCGTTTCGCTGGGTCTCTCTCCTGCCTAAAACAAATTAACATAGTAGTTAGTTAAACAGCCGTCACCTCCTCTTGTCCCGTGAAAATTCTCCTCGTAGCTTTTTTATAAAATTCCTAGTTCTTCTCGTCGTGGCCTTCCGATGGAAAAAGTTTGTATTTTGATCCCCATCTCGCAGTCAATCCGCTCTGGATATTTGTTTCCAATAATCCTCTTCGTCCAAATTGATTTTTCTAATTCTGCCTCAAGCTGGTGCCGTTGCTCAAGAACCACAGTTGTCTTCTCCATCCTTTCAATAGCCCTGAGTGCTCTCATCACCTTCTCTCTATGTTTTGGGAAACTGGGAAAGGTGTTACGGATCCATTCTGTTAACCAAAGAAGTTGATTTTGGATGATTTTAGCAATATTTTTATTTAAATTTAATCAACCAAAAAAAATTCATGACATGTAATTAATAAAAGTAATATTAACAAACTATTTTAATTATTCTACTCTTACGTTATTAATAGAAACATTATCAAAAGTAACCGAATCACTTCCAAGGATAAACTACTAGTATAGAACTATGTTTTGGTATCTATCTCTATGGGGGAAGTATGTTTTACCTCAAAATCGACTCTTATGCTGACTCATTATCCTTGACCAAAGATGCTAGTTGTGGGTTGTTTAATGGAGACGACGAAAGCAGAGACCACCAATATTTCGGTCATTGCCGTAGGGGGACAATTGAACATAGAAACGTTGTGAGTGGAAGTGGAGGAATTCATTATGAAATCACTAAACCACATTTGTATGTGTCAGTTAACGAATCAAAACGAGTCTAAGGAAACTCTAGGGAGGAGCTTGCATGCCTATGCAACGCATTCCTTTCTACTTTGTCCCCATCCAGTAGTTCAGTTTCTTATCTTTTTCTTTTGTTTTCCGATGCAAATTAAGGGGAACCTTAACCCTGGAGACACCTCAATCTCCACCGTTCGTCTTAAAATCCAAGAGTAGATCCCTTACTGACGGAATAAGGAAACGTGATACACTCATAGAAAATACGATTCTTGTTACCGACCAGATAAATTTGGATGCTAACTATAGCGTATTTTTCAACTTCTTTTTTGTTGAAAGGAAACATGAGTGTAAGATCAAGATAACTAGTTGGAGCTCGACAGGGGGTTGATGGGGTTGGAACATATCATTGAGGGACAAGCACAAGAGATTTGGTCAAGTTATTGGTCATGTAGGGCTGTTAACGAACCAAGCTATTCGCGAACGGCTCAGTCTCGAAATCGATAAAAGCTCGTTCGATTTAATAAAAGCTCGATTCGTTTGTTAACGAGCCGAGCTTGAGCTCAACCTTGTTCGGCTCGTGAGGCTCGTGAACTAGCTCGATTAGTTGGCTTGTTTAGTTCGACTCATGAACTATCTCGTTTTTAGCTCATGAGATGTCTCAACACTGTAACTAGGTAGCCAACTTGATTACGGCTTATGATAAAATTGGCCATATCTTATGAGTTTGTTTGTTAATGATGCATATATTTATTAAATTGTATATCACACCTCATGTGATGTTTAATAATTTGAGTACGTGAGCAAATATGTCTACTATATGACATGAAAATCAGTTAATCACATGTATCATATATAACATATAAATATTAGGATATTTAATTCATAAATTATCTTAGAGTTTAGCTTGAGCCAAAATTTTGATCTTAATGATGAGCCAAAATTCAATAAATGATATGGCTCGTGTTCGGATCGACTCAGCTCGTTTATAAATGAACCAAACCTGAACAAGGTAAAACTCGGTTCGGCTCGACTCATTAATAGCCCTATTCATGAGTAGAACCATTGAGACGGCGGTCATATGTATCAAAGGTTGTCAACCCGCGGGTTGACCCGGACCCGGTCGAGCTAGTGGGTCAAGGGTTAATGGGTCAACCGTTTTAGCCCGGTTTGGCTCGGAAATATAGAAAGAGTCATTATATTGCACTTATCCTCATAAATTATATCAAATCTTATCTAACATATGAGTTATAACATATAATATTACACCAAAATAACATATCGTACTTAGATCCAACATATAGTGAAAATTCACACACACTTATATAACATAAATATTCAAATGTTCAACTTAGTATTCCAAAGATTGAGTTAGGCGAAAAGAAAAATTGGAAAATAGGCGCATTTCGCAAACTAAAGAAAAAATGACACAATTTGACCTCTAACCCGGTACCTAATAACGGTCGGCCCAACAGGTGCATGCGGCCCGTTTTTCTCACCGGGTCAGGATCAAATTGGGTCGACCCGCGGGTTGACAACCTTACTATCAACAAAAAGCTAAATGACTTGTGCGAGTAACATTAGCTTGCTTGGCTCGATTTTAGTGAAAAATATATTGGTGGTGGTGGGGAATTGATGGGCAGAGAGAGTGGAAGGTGGCGATGATGAGTGCGTGTGGAGTGGAAATTTGGCACGCCCCTCTTCTTCTCCATGATCTCTTGTAAGCCCCAAAAACCCAAATATCACACTTGATGATGGTCTCCACTGCACGCCTTTCCCTTGTCTCTACAAAAGATATCTCACTTTCCATCCAAGTTTCTACTAGAATCGCAGACACATTCCTCAAGCAAAGAATATTGCTTTTGAGGCCTGAATTTTGGGTAATTGTCACCACCACCATTATCCCCTCCTCAACCCATCATCATCATCTTCTTTTATCCTTTTCTTCACATCTTCTTCTTCACCTTTTTTCACTTTATCAATAAAGAGATTTACTTCAAGTTACTAGAATCGATTTGCTATACTGTTCTGTCTCACTAACTAACATATAAGCTCCTACCACCCTCCCTCAAGCTGATTGTGGATGGTAAGCTTGGAGATGAGTTAGGCAAGAGTGTTCATGCTAAGTTAGTTCAGTGCACAATGTTATAAGAATAGTAAATCATTAGTGGAACATTCGGGGGAATAGTTTATGCATGTATGATAGTCGTCATGCGTCAGAAATTCGGGAATTGAGAACAGAGATTTAGATTGGATGAGACGAGAGGATAATTGGACCAGAATTAGGTGGTATAGAATTAGGGATAGGATTCTTAGACGAGAATAGAGAGGGATTAGGTTTTAACCAAGAAACTCTTAGTTAGATTTATTTTCTGGACAATATGAATATGAGAGATACAAGGAGTATTTATACTCCACAACCCCAAAACCTACGGCTAATTAATAATTATACTAATCAACTATATAATAATAAGGAAAATAATAATATTATTAATAGTGTTGATATTGTCCATATATCCATAGACAGTCCAAAGATATTATTAATAGTAGTAGTGTTGATGAATCCATATATCCATAGACAGTCCATGGATAGGCATGCATATCAATAGATGATTAGGAGTATGTTGCATGATTTCGAACATTTTGTGGTAATTATTTTTATGGAAAATTGTTTCCATCTATTTTTATATTTGGACAATTTTTTTTTTTTTGTACGTTTGCAATTATCGAAATATTCTAGTAATTTTAGAGGGTTTTTAGGTATTATTTGGTATTTTCTTATTTAAGAGTTGGGTAGTTTAAGAGAATTTGTCGGGTTATGCATTTTGTTTTGTGACTGTGGAGCCCACCTTTCTGATTTGTAAAACTAGAACTTTAATTCTTAATTAAACATGGGTCAAACGATCAGCATCTCTGCCTCTATATAAGATCTTTTCATCCACTCCCACAACTGTAGAGCATCTCTCTCTAAATAGAAGGACGCCATATGTGTCTCCCTAGTCCCTCTCTTCATGGGTGGCATGATTTCGCACCACCTGTCAGCAGCATACAACCACAGTCCTACCATCCTTTTGGCCGTTAAACTTGGAAATTCAATGGTTGGAGACTTGACCCTAAAAAGCATATCATCGCCATCGTCCTCATCCTCATCCTCAAAAGTAGAGTTATATCCACCATACCTTCCAATCTCGTTGCTGCCATGGCAAAGTCTCACTCGTCCTCCTCCTCATAGTCCTCCCAGTCAGTGGTGGAGGGAAGGCAATAGGAGAGGGGTCTTAGGACCCCACTTGGAAAATAAATTCGGGAAAATCCATTAGATGAATAGGCTTTGGTATAATTCTGCAAATATAGGACCCCATACTTTCGCCAATACTTGCGGTAACTAAGGACCCCAATCAACTCAAAATTTATTAGATACATAGACTTCTGTTGACATTATTAATTTTTTAAGGACCACAATAAATTTAAAGTCTGGCTACGCCACTGCTCCCATTCCAGTCATTGATCCTTGCCTAATCTCCAGAGTTCGCCCAGTTTGGCAATTATCAGGCGGAGGTGTCATAACCAGAGGGTAGACTACATCTGCAAGTCATAGAGTGTCCTCCATCTGTTCTGTTACCTGTTGTTGTCCGGTTCGATTCGGTTGAAACCAAACCATGCCTAACCATTTTGTGTGGTAGGTCTAGCCCGCACCCTGCCTGCGGGTCTGGGTCGGCCCGATCTTTACCTTAATCTTGAAACTCGGCTCATCTTTCTCACTTTGCCAACCTAGACTCAGATAGCTCATCTTTTTTCTCCTGCGGCCCGATAACCCAGCATGGCTACCGTACCGAACGAGGGGAAAAAAAGGTACTCCGAAGAATTTGTATCTTCCCAACACATCGAACATAACACCTCGCCAGTACTGATATACCTCCCTAGTCCACAGAACCTCCACAATCGACAAAATACGACGACGAAGCAGCTACCAGATGAAAAACTTAAACTCAGTGGTAATCGGTAGTTCCCACTTCCCACACCTTTAGATAGTCCACTACCGCACTTAATACATAAGAAAATGTGCGTTTTAACATAACAAGTGTGCCCTCGTAC